GAAATGGAGGACAAACAGCTGTGGAAATGGGGGACAAACAGTTGTGGATGTGGAGAACAGCCAGGCATGGAAGTGAAGGACAACAAGCTGTGGAAGTAGAGGACAACCAGCTGTGGAAGTGGAGGACAACCAGCTACAAAAGTGGAGGACAACAAGCAATGAAAGTGGAGGACACCCAGCCATTCAAGTGGAGGACAACCAGCTGTGGAAGTGGAGGATGAACAGCCTTGGAAGTGGAGGACAACCAATCATGGAAGTGGAGAACAACCAACTGTTGAAGTGGAGGACAACTAGCCTTGGAAGTGGAGGACTACCAGCTGTGGAAATGGAGGACAACCAGATATGGAATACATCTCCTACTGATGTCTCCAGCACATCTTGTTGGAATTCCAGGAGCCACCACAGCAGGGATGCAGTGTGGTGGAAGTGGGGTGGCTGTGTGTGCCCTGAGCTCGTCCCAATGGCCACATCCCAATGGCCATCTTCAAACCACCAGTGGCTAACTGCCACAACCCAATGGCTGCATTCAGGCTGCCACTTCCCAGCTACCATATCCCAAGGGTCTTATTCAAAACATCCCAATCCAGCTGCTATATCCCAAAGGCCATGTTCAAAACATCCCAATCCAACTCCCATATCCCAAAGGCCACATTCAAATGACCCCAACCCAACCACCACATCACAGCTTCTGCATTTGAACTACCACATCCCAACTACCTCATCCCAATGGTCACGTTCACCTCACCCCAATCCAACTGCCACATCCCAACTATCATAATCAGGCCATCACATTCCATAGACATGTTAAAACCCTGTCCCATGCCATGTTCCTGGCTCTTCTTTCCTGTAGACACAGGGATCCTGCTGGGGAGGAGGAGGGTGGTGCCACGTGGCTCTGTAAGGAAGATGAGGGCCCATCCTCCATCTCCTCATTCCCTCATCTGGGCAGCTCTTAGCCTGGGGAGCACTGGATGCTCGTGGGGACAGGCCACCTGCTGCACGTCCCCACCATGTCCCCATTTGATGCAATTTGTACAGCAGAATGGACCCCGCTCTGTACCACTGTGTTGCCATTGCTACAGCAAGGAACAACATCCGTGTCCTCTCGGGACCCTCCCCCAGGGAACTTTTAATGACACAACACAGAGAAATCTTTTCACCTGTCTGCAGTTTATTGATAATGAAAGAATTCGGGGAAAGGGATGTTGGTAGAAAGCAGCAAGGCAGTAAAATTCCGGTAGCAGAAGGATTGCAATAGGGCCATGCACATGTCAGTTGTGAAGGAGAAGAGCAAAGAAATCTATAAAATATGAAAGCTGCCAAATCCTCTGGAGAGCTGCTTCTCACTCCTAAGCCTGACTATAGGGCATTGCCACATTTCTTCTGCTTCCATGAATACAGCTGAAACAAGCATGTAGGCAACATGCAGGATGCGCAGGAAGCGCAAAGGAGAACATGGCCATTGAAAAAGAGACCTCAGAAGGGAAAGGAAAGAGCAGATCCGCTCACGCTTCTGCTCAGCCAGCCTGGCACGAGGGAAGGAGGGCTCTTGGATGAACTCTCTGGTGATGGGTAACCCCGAGGGAGATATTTCCTAGTGGGGCCATAAATGTTTCATCCCTGGAGACTGGTGGAACAGGGAAAGCAGCAGCGGTGCCAAGAGGGTGGTGTTCTGCTGCTGTTTGCCTCCGGGGAGGAGGCGGGATGCTTCGTTTCTTTGCAGGATTCTCGGGATGTGCCGCAGGCTGGAGGCGGGTGATGCTTCTTTCCTTGGCGGTACTGAGGTTGGGGCTCAGTACTTCACGCCCGAAGATTTCACCGTTGTGGTGGTGACACATCTCCGGACCGAGGATGCTCCCGCGGGAATGAAGGTGCCACCTCCAGAGACACACATTCTCCCACTCCCGGAGGAGAAGCCCCCATTATACACTCCTCCTCCCACCCCACAGCTGCCCCCGATGATGCTTCCTCCTCCGACTGTGCATACTCCTCCTCCCATGCCACTGCCGGCACCAAAGCCTCCAGCTCTGCCTCCAGCAATGGTGGTTCTGCCGACCACAGCTGCAAGAGAAGGCAAGGATCACTGTGTGCCAAAGGGCAGCCTGGGAATTCCAGCAAAACATGGGAGAAATCATTGTGCAAGGAGGATGCATGGCTACTTACACACATTGACGTTGGACGGGTTATCTCCGCAGAGCCTGTGCAGGGAGAGGAACACAAGATGTCAATGCAATACAAGACAGAGCTCTTCAGGTCAGTGCAGTTGCCAAGGTGCTTCACTGAGTTCCTGTTTCTTTTAATGTCCATCAGTAACACAGTCCCTGTGAATGTCTCACTTATAAACATAAACACTTGGGGAAAAATTAAAGTAAATATGACCCCAATACTATGGACAGGGAGATGATGAACACTGAGCCCATCCCAAGGAGACACACAACCTGGGCCAAGGGAGGACAGTGTCAAGACTCACCTGTTTTCCTCTCCCTCCAGCAGCTTCCTGTACATGGCAATCTCCACATCCAGGGCAATCTTGATGTTCAGCAGCTCCTGGTATTCCTTCAGCAGGCGAGCCAGCTCCTCCTTGTCCTTGCTCAGGGCACATTCCAGCTCCTCCAATTTCCTCCTAGCATCCTTCAGAGCCATCTCACCCCTCTCCTCAGCCTCAGCAATAGCTGCCTGCAGCTGCTGGTTCTGAGGAAGGAGAAGGACACGCCCTCAGATCACATTTTATCCCCTACCACCAGTCCGCAAACCCAGACTGGAGGGTTCAAGGATGAAAGGAAATGCTCTACAAAGTCAGTATTGGTAGCTGAAGAATACAGTTTTGTCCCACGGTCTACAGTCAACATTTCAGCATGATGCAGGCATCCAACGAGATGCCACACATCCCTACCTGCTTCTTCACATTCTCAATCTCAGCCCGCAGCCGCTGGACGTTCCTGGTCAGCTCCTGGATCTCGATCTTGGTGTTGCGCAG